AAGAAAATTACCACAAATTTCCTTAAAAATGCTGAGAAAACCTCATTCACAGTAGCTTGGAAGGTAGATGGTGCATTGGATAGCCCAAAAGGCATCACGAGGAATTCGTAGTGGCCATGGTGTGTGCGAAAGGCTGTCTTGTGAACGTCAGATGCATCCATGAGTATTTGGTGGTAGCCTGACCGTAGATCCAGTTTGGAAAAAATTGATGCTCCATGTAGTTCGTCTAATAATTCGTCTATGGTAGGAATTGGGAACTTGTCCTGCACCGTGATTGCATTTAAGGCTCTATAATCAACGCAAAAGCGCCACGTTCCATCTTTCTTTTTTACTAGTATGACCGGTGAGCTATAGGCGGAATTACTTGGGCGTATTATTCCTTCTTTCATCATCTCTGTGACCAGCTTCTCAGTCTCATTTTTTTGGTAATGTGGATACTGGTAAGGCCGTACCTGTATTGGGTTTGTGTTGGGGAGAAGGTGGATATGGTGGTTTGTTGGTCTATGTGGTGGGAGTTTAGTGGGTTTGAGGAATACGTCCTGGAAATTGGTTAGGATGGGTGAGATGGTGTGTGGGATTGTAGGGGTTGGGTCTGTATGTGGGTGGGGAGTTGATGCCGTCATGCACATGAGATAGGCCTGTATTGGTTCCTGGGCTATGAGTTTGTGTAATTGGGAGTTGGTAATTGCGGAAGGTGTTAGACTGGTATTCCCTTGAAGAATCATGGGTTTGGAGTGGTGGGTAAAGGTCATGGTCAGTGTTTGGTAGTCTGTTAGGACTGGTCCTAAGGTTGATAGCCATTGTATGCCTAGGACAATATCGGCGCCCTGAAGTTCTAGCACAAAAAGGACTATGTCAAAAACGTGTTGATTCGGGAGAGTAATACGAACCTTAGTACACATCCCTTTGCAGTATAGGTTGTCCCTGTTTCCCACTTGGACCTTGAATGGGTTGATGGACTGGATGGGTAAGTGCAAGTGATTTGCAGCGCGTTCTGTAATAAAGTTATGGGTGCTGCCATTGTCTATCAGTATCTGGACAGCTGTGCCTTTAACAGTGCCCGTTAGTCGAAATACCTTGGTGGAGTGGTGACCAAAGAGGGCATTGAAACTGATTTCTGGATACGCAGGGATGTCCGGAATAGATTCTTCCTCTGTTTCCTCTGCATGCGCAATCTCTTCATCGTCATCTACTAATATGCACATAAAGGTAGAACCTTGTTTGCATTTATGGCCAAAAACATACCGTTCGTCACAGTTGTAACATAGACCCTTTTCTCTTCGTGCCATCATCTCTGTTTGGGTGAGCCGCCGTATTGGTATGGAAGTTGACTGGGGTGTTGGTGGTTTGCCGGGTTGAGTGATGGTGTTAGATTGGTTACGCTGTCCCCACCGTAGTGTGCGATCCTCCGCTTCTGCAAAATTGCATGCAAGGCCCCAAGCGGCAAGGAAAGTCTCGGGTAAATGTGCTTGAACATCACTACGCACCTTTGGTTTTAGCCCCGAGATAAACATGCTTTTTCGAAGGCCGTCCGTTATGCCGTGTACTTTACTTGACATAGTTTCGAATGTTGCTTGGTATTCACGGACCAATCCTGTTTGGGTCAGCCGGCATAATGCTCCTGCTGGATCCTCATAAACTGTTGGGCCATACCTGCTGATTATGGCTGTCCGAAAGTCTCTCCAGGTTGCAATTAGTCCCTCGCGGGACAGATTGCGGTACCAGCTTAAGGCTGGTGGATCTAGGTGTAAGGCGGCCAGACGGAGCTTCTCCGGTTCTGTGATTGAATAATATTCAAAATACTGGTCCACTGCGAATAACCAGTCTGTAGGGTCTCCCTGGGCAAACCGAGGGAATACAAGGCGGACCGGTTTTGGCCGGTTCGGATCTGGACGTGTTGGACCTGGTCCAAGAACGCTACCTGAAGGTTGGTTGTTGCGCTGGGCTTCGAAGATAGCGGTTATTTCGCGCTGGAACTGATCGAACCTGTGGTCTAGTTGCTCCTGGTTGGAGCGTTGCATCTGCATCATGAAGGTTTGCCGATCCTCATTTGCGGATGTTATGAACGTAGTTAGCCGTTCCTCAACAACGGTGATCTGTCTTGCATCTGAGCCATGCGGGTAGTCTTTTCAGCCATGGAGGTAAGTTCAGGAATGAAAGCACCAAAATGTAGGAGGATGAAGGGGTAGTAGGAGAAAGAACGAATCGGGAGGATTGGGAAGAGAGGGAGATAAGAAAATTGTCAAACAACTCTATATCTTTATTGAGGTTTGATTTGCAATATTTAAAGAAAGTGCACATCCTAATCTAGAATTCAAATAACGAAAGTTGTTGAAACAACCAATCCTAAAATTACGAAGGGAAATAACAAATCCTAAAAATAGGGATAGAAATAACTAATCTCCTAATTACAGTTAAGCTGCATGTTTATTGGAATTTAAACCAGAACAATTTGCAATGCTGGGCTTGGATCATGTGAGGTAGTCATCCAAGTGTTTTGGGCTGATCCGCGTGCGTTTGGGTTGTGTCCTGGTGGGCTGGGTCACAACAATATATCTCTGTTATATATCTCAGTTGAACTTCTAACTTTTGCATGTTAAGATGGAATATACTGCAGCTGAGAATAACTAGAGATAACGAAAGCAGCTTGTATTGCATTAGGTATAAAATATAAAAAGGATATACAATAGAAAGTGGAATAATGTTAAAACTTTCTATGTTGCGTAGCAAGTAGCAATATTCGATTTCATTTTATGATCATCTTTAATTATATTGATTTCATATTATTTGATTCAAATAACATTTAGAACTCTAAATACTATTGGACATGTTTTCTCTAACTTTTATAAAATGTAACTTCCCCCCCCCCCCCCCCCCTCTTTTGACAATGTTATTGAATTTTTTTCTCATTAATTGTTCCCATACTTTTCTTTGTACTTGTTATGCAATGTGGGGATTGCCATTGCGTGCTGAATCTCCAATAACGTTGGTCTCGCGCTAAGTGATGTTGGTGTCTGTTGAATTTCTAATCAAATGTTGTAATCAGCACCAGCTTGAGTCTACTAAGAAAACAAAAAGTAGTATATTTTGACTGGTAGTAACAGAGAATTGGAACTACTAAAACTTTCCTGCTTTGTTTGAATAATAAGGTGCTGGTTTGCTTGAAATCCTAACAGAACTGAGATTGATATATGCTAGTTTTTAGTTCAATCCAATCATATCTAATATTATTGACAATGTTAGATTGTATTTATCTTGTCATAAACGTCAGATAATTGAGCCGTTTTAAAGTTATTTGTATCCTTACAGGGGAAGGACAGAATATTTTTCTTGCAGTCTCTGCATCTCCATAATCTTATGGTCATTGTGTATAACTTGTATTTTTGGATTTGTTCTATACTTCTATTAACAACAAGGTTCTAAGTTGCTTGATATATTGATTATCTGCCTAGAGCTCAAATAATCAATTGTTTTTTTTTTTTGGTACAGAAATAATCAATTGTTAATATTTGAATAAGAGTTTAGTGTGTGTCCTTTTAAAGGAGGTAAGTTGTGTCATTTTAGTTTTTTACTCTATGTACTCCTGGTAGTACATAATTATAACATGAAAAATTACTTTTTTTTTTTCACTTTCCACATGTGACTGAGAATAGACGGAAGTACATAAAGTAAAAAAACTAAAAGTACACAGCTTGCAAATAGTTTTCCCTTTGAATAATTGTCTGCGTAGAACTCAGTAAGTTTCATGCTTCTGCCTTTTTATTTTATTATATTTTTTCAAAGATTTATTGTTTGGAAATCTCAGTCAGGGTAGATAAGTGACACAAGAAATGAAATGGTCTAGTCGTATAATTGTCCGCCTAGAACTCAGCACGTTTCAAGCTTCTGCCTTTTTATTTTCTTTTTATATTTTCAAAGATTTGTTTTTTGGAAATCTCAGTCAGGGTAGATAAGTGACACAAGAAATGAAATGGTCTATAGTCACCCATGCATTAGTTGCAGCTACTAGTTCTATAATATATTTAACTTCTGACTTTTATGGACAGGTCTTGAAGTTATCTCTTTCCTATTAGAAATGAATCACTAAATGCGTCATATCCTTGCTTCTTATTTTCTTCTTCAGTTTTTGGTCTTTTAAGTCTAGCTCATTCATAGTTTCAAGTGTTTTCTTTGACAAAGTGCTACTTGTTTCATAATACGTTTAACTTCTGACTTTTATGGATGGGCCTTGAAGTTACATCTTCCCTTCAAGAAACGCATCATCTCTAAACGCACCATGTTCTTACATTTTAATTTCTTCTACAGCTTTTGGTCTTTTTAAGTTTAGCTCATTAAGTGTTATCAACTGTTTTCTATGACAAAGTTTCTGCTTCTGGCCTCAGGGTAAGTTCTCTATATTGTGTCATGTGAGTGGTGAACTACCAGGAAGGTTATCTGATATCTTAATTGGCCCTTCGTGTGTGTGTAAATCTAACGGTACACAAAGAAGGGAACCATTCCAGTGCATTTTTTTCATTAGTGTGGCTCTACCCGTTTGTGGAAAACTAACAAAGAGGGTGGCAAGTAAATTTTGTTGGAATTATGCATGAATTGTTGCAGTTTCGAGCACCCCCACCCTGCCACCCTTCTAAAGAGTTGCTTTCCTCTTTCCTCACCATTCCACTAAAAATATGTTCTCATTTTGCACCATTTGGAGGGCTATACATTTCCTTTGATTTCACACAGCAGTGTATCTAGTACCTCATCACTCTTCAGTTAATCTCTCTCCTTAGGGTACTCGGAACTTCATCTTCCACTCGATCATAATTAGTCCTTCGGTTAGTTTCCAAGTTTCATACATCATAACTAATTCCTTTAACTGCAAGTAGTTTCACATATTGCCCTAACAGATGATAATCATCGTCACAATTAGTTAATACCATTTGTCATCCCTCTCGCGTGAGAAATCATTTCATCACCTGATTATTACCTAATCTCTTCAGCAAGTTTTCCAAGTCAAGTAATACTGATATTTCACAATATGCCCTACAAATTATGAGAAGGTAATAATATTTTACACTGAAGATCTTCCAATTCATTTACTTGCTTGCCAAGTTGCCATAACAACGGATATTGGACACTGGGCTAACAAGCATACAGAGTTATACTAGTCTAGTGTCCTGTAGCACACAGGACTTACAACATAAACAACATGATCGTAGCAGTTTCCTGATCCTATAAGGAGATGCTATTCCCAGTACTAAACGATACATTTCACAATTTAATATTTACACAAGCTGCACTAGTCTAGCGCCACACAATCACAACAGGGCATCCTTAAATTTAATGTGTTGGTGTATGTATAGCAGCTACAGTTGAGACCATGGAATCCACTCCACAAACATTTCGCCCTTTGCAGATTTTGTAATATCCATTCTCTCCCCAACTTTCCCCCCAGGAATTCTTTATGATCCAGTAAGCCTTTTTCTTGAGCCGAATGGGAGCATATCCACGAGCGCCATAACCCACTAGAAGAACACCATGATCCAAATTATGCTTTCCACAGATGTATGGGCATGAGACGCCACCAATATATGTCTGCATAAAAACTGCATTGATACCAACTGTACCAAGCAAAGCAAAAGTCAGTTTTTTCTCTAATTTGTCATTCAACCTATGTATTCTTCTTCAATAAAAGAGATAATCAAACATGTTAATTAGCTACCTGCAAGAGGGCCATTCTTCACTAGATTTGCAGCAATTTGTTTTTCGTCAAGGGAAACAACACTGAAATTAGATACGGAAGCTGCAATTTTGGTTTTGTCAAATTTGCAAGAGCCATCTCTTCCACTGTAAGGATAGTCCTCTTCTCGCTGTACTCCCCCAGCTTGAAGTATGTACTCGAATGCGTTGTTCATCAACCCACCATTACACCCTGAGTCACAAGCTCCATATTGTTCTGGATCACACTGCCAGATTTATAGCCGTTAATTCCTCACTATAATATCATGGTGGTTAATTTTATGGTACCGCCAATCATTAATTATTCTGTTCTCAAAAGAGTTTATAATCAAAATTATGGGGAAATATCACCAATTAAATTTATAACTTCTTATCACCAAATCTTAACTACTGATTTTCATTAATTAGACAGTTATAATTTATTAGATGACATTTATTAATTAAGTATTAATTTCCAACAAATTATAACTATCACGTTGACAGAAATAATAAAAAACTTAATTAATATCTGATAAAAAATGATAAACTTAATTGGTGGTAAATATCTGTCACCAAAATTATTTCTTAAAAATTTGCTAAACATAAACTATATAATAACTTAGGGAAATATTATTCCTCCTTTCACATAAGATAATTTCTTTCTCGTATTATCTCATTTCAATTTTGACACGTCATCTTTTTCTTATTTTATGCAATAGTGAGATCCACTCATTTACTCTCTACTCTCTACAACATACCCATTTACTCTCAACATGAGATAAGATGATAATTAAGAGTAAACACCCTTTTTAGACCCTGCAATATCTACGAAGTCCTTTTCAGGCTCTGGCAATAAAAAAAGACCAAATTGGTCCCTGAAAGTACAAGAGGAGGGCCACTCTACATATTTGAGAGTTGACATAAGGACTAACATGGCCCCTTTTTTTGTAATTTCAGGAACCAATTTAGTCCTTTTTATTGCTAGGGACTAAAAAGGACTTCGTAGATATTGACAGGGACTAAAAAGGGTGTTTACTCGATAATTAAAAGAGAGTAATAAAACCCAATAACTTATCATAACCACGATCGAAACAAGAGAGAGAAACGTACCACATGATCGCAATCCACAAGCTGTTGCTCGCTAAGGCTCACTAGGTTTCCAGTTTCCAGAAAATGAGCTCCTTCCAACGCACCTGTGGTGCTGAACGCCCAACACGAACCACAAGATCCCTAATCATCAATCACCCCTAAACAGTTAATCGCGCTAATCTCAAAGTTTATCTCAAACACAAGATTATATTAATGATCGATTAATAATTATTATATTATACATACCTGGTCCTTGATGGGAGTGACGGCTCCTTTTTCCCGCCAATCGAAATCCTTAGGGAGATCCTTCGTAGGGAGGATCGGAGCCTTCTGAGCATCGGCGGGAAGACGGAGAGGCTTGAGGCCGAGGAACTGGTGGCGGAACTCCGACGGAGTGAGATCGGAGAACTTGGTGACGCCGTGGACGGCGGAGGGATCGAGTTTCTCGTGCAGCTTGGCTCTGCGCAAGTTGGTCTTGAAGACGCCGAAGCGATAGTCGTGCTCCTCATTTGTAGCGTAGGTTTTGCTGAACTTTGACTTGAAGGTGGAGAAGTGGTGCTCCGCGTTCAGCAAGTGATCCTCCTCGGATTCGCCGTCCGCCACCACTTGACGGATCAGAAGCTCGTCGTCGTCGTCGGCATCGATTCGATCGGCAATCGCGGCGGTTGCGACGGCGGCGAAGAGGAGCAGAGCTAAGAGTGAGTAGCGATCCATGGATTGGGTAATGGATTGGATATTTTGGAATTGCTACAAATTTAACAAGAATACAGCTAGTGTGATGATGACACGTGCCCCTCGCCTGATGAGGTTCGTTTTCTACAACATGTCAGTGCACTCGTCAGCTAAACTAACAAATACCTCTGGCCCACTTTTATTTTCAAGTTGTTAAAAATAAAAATATTTTTTTTATAAATTTCGAAAAATAAAAATAAAGTTATTTTATAATTATTAATATAAAAAAAATCCATAGTCTTATATATTCATTAAATCCAAAATTCTTTTCCACTGACCCAAAAAGAAATAATGAGAAATAAAGAGTGAGCTCCATTATTTGACTTGTAAGATGTATATTTGATATTATATTTATAACAATTACGTGGCCTTTTTCTTTCCTGATTGTTGGAAAGAGATACAAAAGCGACAGAAATATCCACCTTTTTTTTTTTTTTTTTTGGTGTGGGAAATATCCACTTTTAATTTTCCTTTGAAGTATATGTGATAAATTGTACAGTAATGAGTAGAAACAGTACCCAAACATAAATATGATATGAGTTTATAGAAAAAGCAGTTATAAATATAATATCAATTATACAGCTTTCAAGCCAAATAATGGAGCTGAAACTTTATTGCTCATTTCTTTTAGGGTCCGTTGAAAGTAGGTTTGGATTTACCATATACATTTCATAAAGGAAATGTATAATTCTTTTTATTCGTGATTTTTTATGTGATATTTTTATTAATAATTATAATAATGTCACTTTATATTAGTACATTTTTTATTTTAAAAATTTACGAAATGAAAATAAGAAAGTTGTTTAATTGATATTCTATTTATAACAGATATTTTCAATAAACTAACGGTATTTCTAACCATCACTGTGCAATTTATCATTTATTGGTATTTTTGTCCCAAATTTATTTATTATTGAAGATAATTTTATTTCTTTTATATGTGTGTGTACGTGGGGGTACATGACTACATGTGAGGTTATTTGATGAGAGAAAAAAAAAAATTCACATATTTTTATGTATATACAAGAGATAATTTTATCTCTTAAGATATATCAAGGTCCACTTTCGTGTACTGGATATTTTTGCATCTTCTCTTGCAATTTATGATTTCCTTTCATTTTCCATACGTCTGACAATTTAATCATCAATACCAAAAATTTAAAAAGTTATTCAAGGTTTCGTTTGCAAGCTTCTTTCCTTTCCTTTTCTTTCAACTTCGATATCACTATCACTCAATTTTTAAATAATATAGTGAATCTTTCAAAAGAAGCATACGCGAGCAACTTGATTTCTTTTCCGTATATGTGTGTATCTATATTTAAAGTTCCTGGATGACTTCAGGCATTCCATACATAGTCAGTAGGAAGTTAGTGCGGGTTTATTTTTTCTTTTTCTCAACACGAAGACGTATTAAATCATGATCGATGTTTAAATTAAACAAATAATCGTTTCACATATTTATAAATGCCTTTTTTTTTATGTCAAGAGAAAAGGACAAAAAAATAAAATAATGACTAAATTAAACTAAGAGGCTACGCCAACAAAATAACACACACAATTTCTCATGTTCTCAGCTACTAGGTAACGGTTCAAATTTATTTGATAAAAGGAGTTGATTGATGTAGTAAATCTCCAACCTCTGATGAAATGAATTGCTTGCTATCATGCACACATGTATGTCAAGCTCAACAAAGGCATGGGCTATGTCGGAGCCTCCAAACCTGAGCCCAATAGCCCAACCCGTTATTGTGGCCTAGTCCAAGCAAATAGCCCATGTATGTAGTTGAATGATTAGAAGTAATGGGCCATTGTACTTTAGTCAAAGTAAGTATGAAGCCCTTAGGAATTTTTTTTGGAATTCCCTCTTCATTTTACCTTGGACAAAGGATGGCTAAATTAACTCGATTATTCCACCTAAGATCGACCTCAACGTTTTATTAGGTTACATGTCATCAAATCAAATTCTTTTTTTTTTTTTATACAAATGAAAATTGAATACATAAACTAATATAATTTACCCAAATTCCTCACTACTAGACCAAATATAATGGCTTAAATCAAATTCCTTTTGCTTGTAGGGAACCATTACAATAGTTAAAAGATTAGAGGTAAGAGTAGAAATATTGGGTAAGTTAACTAAAATTAAAGTAGAATTAAGAGAGAAATATAAAGTAATGATTTTTTATTTTTTGAAAATATTTCAATCGGTTCATTGCTTCGCAACTAATCCGATTCGGGACGGGTCCAGGATTAAGGCTTTTAAACTTCTCCCAAAGGTGGTACTGGAGAAATTCGAACACATGTTCTCATCTCCACCTGCTTACCTCGCATGCACCAACTGAGCTACCACCATTTAGTTAGTAATGAATGACTAGAATACTCCTCTTTAGGAGTTACAATTTAGGTGTTAAGTATTTGGAGGTTATATATGGGCATCCAAAAATTATTTTTTATAACAGCTCTCTTATATTAAATAAAGCTATATGGAGTTTATAATATATGATATATGATTGGTTGCGTTCATTTGGATTTACTACACTATTAGCTAGTCAGTGGAGGAGACATGAGACGTGGGAGGGTAGTGCTTAATGGCGAAGCCAACGAGGAGCTACAGGTCGATGATGGCTCCCCGTAAACTTCATCAATACTGAATTAGTTCATAAAGCCCGAAAGCAAGAGTAAGTATTAAATCTCTCAATCGCTTTAATTTGAAGTCCTTTATATACAGTACAAAAATATATAGAAGCTAATTTTTTTTTTTGTCCTTGTTGCGTCAGTCAAAGGGCCTGTTTTATTCTTAAAACTAGTTTAGTTTTTAAAACAAAAAAAAAAGTAAAAAAGAAAAAGAAAAATTGTTTGAAAAGGGTTGTTTTATAAAATAACTTCCAAAATAATAATAATTTTTTGTTTTAAAAATTTAAAATGGAGAATAACCTAGGGATGTTCTCAAAAATTGTTTTTTTTTTGTTTTTGTTTTTGTGGGGATAATTTTATAATTATAATATTGTAAATAGATTTACTTTTTTAATTTTAAATATTTTATTGTGATTAATTATCAAATCTCATTAATAAAAATGTTGTAAATAATGTAACTTTTTATAATTTTAAACTAACAGTATTAGAACATATTTTATTATTTTTCTGCTCTCAAGATCAATTTTACAAATTTATATTCAAACCAGCTTTTAAAATAAAAACAACTACACATATCTTAGTTCTCCTTTACAAATATTTATGGCTCTGTCGTTGGTCGTATTTCCTTAGTGTGATTAATGTTTCTTCAGTCACAGGAGATAAAATATTTTAAATGATTATAAAAAGACATTGTTTTGAGATTGAAAGAAAATTATTTTTTGTAAATCTAATTTATTATGAGATTATATTAATAGTTATCATTATAATTTTTTTCTTCCAAACCCAAAATAACGTTGTTTTTGGAGTCACAAGAAATAATTTTATTTCTAGTGACCGGAAAAACATTAAACTTGTATTTAATATATTTAGTTTTTATCCTTAAAAATAACAATTTTAATATGATTTTTTAGTAAAACAAATTGCTTTATTATATTTTACTTAAAACAAAAGATGAGCAATAAATTTATGACAAATATGATAATAAATAAACATTATTTCATATGTAATAACATGAAATATAACTTACAAAGTAAATAATATTAATTTGTATTTATAATTATTTTACATTTATTTTATTTACTATAAATATTTTGAAATCATAACACGTTGATTATAAATTGAATTTATTTCATTTTTAAACTTATTTTACATGGTAGTTAGTTTCTTCATTTTTTGACTGAATTTTCAAAATTATATATCTAATCTTTAATCTCATTGTCCCAAAATTGAAGTTCTGATTCTAGTCCTGAGGCTAGTACATCAAAATTATATAAAGGGTTTTACAAGAGTTATGTTTTAGGAAAAGTGATTGTGTAATGTTATAGATATTCGTTTTGCGTGCCATATTTTTTTTCTTCAAAAAATGTGAGTCCCACATAATATTGTGTGTATGAAAGTTTGTTATGTCATGTTAAATGACAAATGTAAATCTCATATATAAATTGTCAAAATGCATATATATATTACTAAAATTGTAGAAGACGGGATCCATCAAGTGGATTTTTGAATGCGAACATTGAGCCGAGACTTTAGAGTTAGCGATAGCCTTCGTGAAGAACGAATGGTCACACTCACACCACAATGGGTCCTCTATAGTGCAATGAAGATGCAGATATAATCATCAACTTGGAATCTTCTTTGTCGGCTTTGAAAGATTTTTGCATCATCTTTTCCACTCACCCCAAATATTCCAATACCGTCTTCTCGATATTGAGCAAACGATCATCTTCAATTAGACTTTGTATGAAGATGGTGTGTGTTGGTGGATGTCCTATGTTTGGGACCTCCACCACAAGACGTACTTCTAAGAGAATGCAAATGAAGAACTTTGTCACTCCCATGAACGTGGATTGCAAAAGTAGTAAACCTAATAAACGAAGATAGAGATGCATAGAAACATTGAAAAAGGTCGATAGGGGAGGATGTATATTAGTGCATGACAGTGGTCCTGCCTGTGTGGGGCATTATCTGCGTGCATGGAGCATATATAACTGGAAGATAAGAGCATGGATCATCATTCATCAAACCATGACTTTTATGAGAGTTAATGCGTTGGTTTTAATAGCTGCTTCTTCTTCTTCTTACATAAGTCTATATAAAAAGTTCTCTACAACTGTTGTTTGTGTACTATATGTGGTTGAATTCTTAGACTTGCTAGTTCCTCATCTATTACAAAACAGGATTGTTAATTTTGTACATGATTAGAGTGAATACTATTGCTAGAAAGGGAAGAACTGAAAGAGGAATAGTATTGATTATAAAGTTGTACAGATCGATCAGGAGATAAAATATTTTCTAATAATATAAAATTAAAAGAACAGAAAACTTGAATCAAATACTAGTTTAAGTG